GCAAGTGTTGTAAAAACATACTTTCTCAATTCAAAATAATTATTTTTTTATTTGAAATTTATTTTAAATTAATTATTATTTTTTATTTTTAAAATAGACATATTTTTTTATACTTTAACATTATTATTCTCTATTTATTTTGATTAATTATCTTATAAAAAAATTTAACTTTATCTTTTCATTTTTTTAAGGTAATATAATTAAATATATAAATTACTATTAAATCCTTGATTTTAAGAAAAATTTTAAAAAACTATTATTTTGAAATAAAGAAAGTAAGTTCATAAATTTTTTTTGACATTAATTAACATTAAAAATAAAAATTGATATTTATTTAGTCAATCGATTACTAATTGAAATAGATCATATGAAATTAACAATAAAATAAGAGAACAAAAATAAAAACATATTAACGTTAAAAATGTTAAACTACTCAATTATGATAATTAAATATACGAGATATAATAAAAAATATTAATTTTATTAAATTTTTTATGAAATTACTATTACATTTCTTGACTTTTTATTCTCAAAATATTTTAAATTTTTTTTATAAATATTAATTTTAATATAATTAATATTAAAAAATTATTAATTACATTCCTAAAATATATCTTACTTAATAGCTGCACAGCTTAAAAAAAAATTCCAATACTAAGTACCTCCTGTCTACAATAAAAGACTTTCTGCCACACCAAACAAGTGGACATGGATTTGGTCACGGTGACAATGGCGGGTACGAGAGACATTGATATTTTAATGGAAAAAAAGAGGGGTCATGACACGTGGCTTTTGAAAGGGATCCAGATGAGGACAAACACACGCATGCGGTGACGACAGACTGTTTTCTGTGTACAGTATTAGTGGTATTATTAGTGTAAAATATAAATATAAAATAAATTATACAATAGACTGCCATTTCATGGGGATGACTCTGGTTCCTTTACATGCTTCCCTCCTGTCAAAACCTACTTTTAGTCTCTCATGGTTAAATTTGAAAGTTTTAATTTTTTATCTTAATAGATTTATAAGTTTTAACTTTTCAATTTATATTAAAACACTTTTAACCTTTCACCTATTAAAATTAAAGTGAATAACTCTCAATTTGTAACATTTTATTAGTTCTGTTAACTGACTGTTAGTTGTCAAAAATTTTCTTTCAATTAATAGAGTTAACAAAATTAATTTTATAATATTTTATTAATTCTGTTAATTAGCTATTAGTTGACATGTATAGTAATAGTGGTATTATTATTAT